TCCAGTTAATTGTGACTAAAGGGCCCTTCCAGTTAATTGTTGACTAAAGGGCCCTTCCAGTTAATTTTTGACTAAAGGGTCCTTCCAGTTAATTGTTCACTAAAGGGTCCTTCCAGTTAATTGTTGACTAAGGGCCCTTACATGTGAGATGTTTCCAGAGAACAGGTGAGTTGCGGACTGCGCGGATCAGCTAATCAGTGTTCTGTGGTTTTGCTTTCCTCTTTTCAGGTGGAGGAATCAAAAAGTTCTCCCAGTGTCCAGAAGATGTTTGTGGATTTAAAAGATTCTCCATCAGAGTCCAGAGAGGTTTTCATTCCTGAAGGATGGGAGGCAGGACAGCTGCTGACTCCTTCCAAGGAAAGTGGTTCTGGTGCTGAATTCCACACGGTGAGAGCGTCTCTGTTTGAGAACGTGGTGGAGAGGCAGAGTGTGTTGATGATGGACCAGGATGGAGCTGCCAGCTCACCCAGGGACCACCCTGCTGGCACCAGAGGAAACGACGATGACGACGATGGCTCTCTAGTCACCGCCACCTACAGGGAACCCTCGTTTCCCTCAGATCCTTTCTGGGTGTCGCACGCCTTTGACACGGTTCAGGCCGCCGAGCACAGCCAGGCCATGAGCGAGAGTGTTCCTGCAGCCCAATGGGAAGACAAGGCCATGACACTCCGCTCCAGACGCTCCGAGCGATCCAGACCAGGCCTTCCGATGACTCCCCCAGTGCCAGCGGACCCTCCGCCACGGTACCTCAGAGTGGGGGCCCTACAGAGGTGGACCGATACAGGCCTTGACCAACGTGGAGGTCCGGATAGAGGGATGCTGGAGGAATCAGAAAGCGAAGGGCGGGTGGCTTTGGAGAGAGATCAGGATGAAGTGTCTGCTGCCCCAAAACGCTTGAAGATGCTGCAGGCAGAGGAGCAGCAGAAGCCCAGGGCCACCTACTTCGCTCTGACTGGTCAAATGCAGGAGATTTCTCCTGGAGGAGCAACCACTGTGGAGGGAGCTCAGCTCTACAATGAGCCATCTGTGAGGTCATCTCTGAGCAGCTTCCCAGCAAGGAGGAACCCTTCCCTAGAACTAGCTTTTGAGCAGGAGAAGTTTGATGAACTCATGCTGAGGAGCCATGTCCAGTCCGTGGACGTCAGGTCACCGACCGACAAAGCAGCCAAAGAGGAAACGGCAAAGAAACAAGAGCATGAGAAGGAGACGGAAAGACACAGGGCTAAAGTCAACCAACAAGCGCAGGCCGACTTTGAAAGGATGAGGGAGCTGGATAGGCAGAGAGAGTACGAAAGACAAAGACAGAAGGCCTTCGAAAAGGAAAAAAGGGAATTAGAGGAGGAACAGCAAAGGCAAAAACAGCTGGAGCTGGAAAAACAGAAACTCCAAGAACTAGAGAGGCAGAGAGAGAGACGAGAGGTGGAGAGGCAGAAAGAGATGGAGGCCGAAAAATCCAGACAGATGGCTTTAGAACAGGAAATGCTGAGGATGAAGGAGCTGGAGAAAAGAACCAAACTGAAGGAGATGGAGCTGGAAAAACAGAGGCAAAGAGAAAAGGAGAGGATGCAGGAGATGGAGAGACTGCAGTTGGAGAATGAGAGACTGAGAAGAGAGCAGGAGCAGGACAGGAGGAGGAAGGAGGAGCAGGAGAGGAAGAGGAAGGAGGAGCAGGAGAGACTCCGAGAGATGGAGAGGCAGCAGATCATAGAACTAGAGAAGCAGAGATCCAAAGAGAGAGCAGAAAAAGAGGCAGAGAAATTAAGACAGATGGTGTTGGAGCAGGAAATGCTGAAGATGAAGGAGCTAGAGAAGGAGAGAGCAAAGGAGAGAGAGAGGGAGATGGAGCGTCAGATGGAGATCAGGATGGAGAAGGAGAGAGAGCTGGAGAAACAGAGGCAGAGACAACTGGACCTGGAGAGACAGCAGCTAGNAGGATGGAGAAGGAGAGAGAGCTGGAGAAACAGAGGCAGAGACAACTGGACCTGGAGAGACAGCAGCTAGAGAAGGAGAGGCTGAGGAGAGAGCAGGAGCAGGACAGGAAGAGGAAGGAGGAGCAGGACAGGAAGAGGAAGGAGGAGCAGGAAAAGCTCAAAGAGATGGAGAGACAGCAGATTGTAGAGCTAGAAAGGCAGAGACTGAGAGAGAAGGAGGAAAAGGAGGCTGAAAAGTTGAGACAGATGGCTTTGGAGCAGGAAATGCTGAAGATCAAAGAACTGGAGAAGGAGAGAGCAAAACAGAGAGAGATGGAGATGAGAGAGCAGGAGAAACGGAGGCAGAGAGAGATGGAGAGGCAGAGGCAGCTGGACCTGGAGAGACAGCAGTTTGAAAACGAGAGGCTGAGAAAGGAACAGGAGAGGGACCGGCAGAGGAAGGAGCAGGAGAGACTGAGAGAGATGGAGCTGGAGAAACGGAAAGCAAAGGAGAAGCTGGAAAAGGCCGAGGCTGAGAAGATGAGGCACATCGCCAAGCAGCAGGAAGCAGAGAGGCAGCGGCTCAAAGAGAAGCAGAAGAAGGAGGAGGAGGAGAGGCTCCGGTTGGAGTCGTCTCATCAGAGACACAGAGGTGATCCAGCATCTTCCCAAAGCGGCGACCCTTCTCCGCGGTGGAGGGAGCCCCATAAACCTGCTGGGCTCAACATCGACTCCTTCACCTCTCCCACTCCGCCCGGGTTCCCTGCCCATGAGGCCTGGTTGCAGCCAACGCCAGAAAGAGACGGAAGCTGGAAGGTCCCGCCACAGACCTCGAGCCCCGTATGGACAACATCTCCTCAGGATCCGTGGGAGCTCCGTCCTGTTGAGATGTCTGTAGACGGACCCAGAAACGCTCCCCACACGCTCAGCCCAGAACAACCACAGCGGCACAGACCCGCCTTCCTGGACCAGCCTCTGCTCTTGGCTCCTCCTTCAGGGAAGGAGCCCCAATCATATCAGGAACCTCCCCACGGTGGAGACCAGGCCTGGATTCCAAGAGAGCCCCATCCTCCCAAGGACAGGAGCCGCAGGAGAACCCAAGGATCTCAGGTGAGAGAAAGAGTCCTCTATGAAACACAGGGAGGCTGCAGGTGAGGCGTGGCGCCCTGAGGGGGAGACGGAGAGATCAAAAGGGGTGATGGTGATGCTGTGGTACATAGTGCCCTGCTGCTTCTTAGACGGGGTCATTAACGTAGCTGATAAATTACAAAAAAAATCCATCCACTGGACTTTGTTTCCATGTTTGAAGACGTTTCTCTTCCCGTCCAGGAAGATTTTTCAATTCAAAATGTCAAAAAAAGTGTTGAGTTTTAGGCTCTAT